CCTGCAGGGCCGAGGCCAGACGCCGGTCCCGCTCCTGCAGCTGCCGGTGCTCGCTCCGCAGCTCGCCGCCCCGCCGCCGCAGCTTCTGCTTCTCCTCTTCCTTGACTGCAAAGAGGCGGCCCGCGGTGAGCGGCGAGGCCAGGCAAGTCCGGAGGGGGCCCACAGGTGCGCCCCAAGCCGGGACCGGCCCCAGGCCCTTGCGGCGCCCTGGGGAAGCGCGGGGCGGCTCCGAGCCGCTCACCTGTCTTGTGGGCGACGCAGGAGTGAACGATGGCCAGCATCCCCGTCCAGGGCGCGCCTTCGTCTTTCGTTAAGGCCTGAGGGCGGGCGGGGAGGTGAGTGGGAGGCCCGGCCCGGCTCCTAGCTGTAGGCGGGGCCACCTGCCAGGGCTGGCGCAGAGGCTGCCCGCCAGCAGCACCCACGAGGGCGCAAGCTGCTCCCCGCGGGGCGTCGCACAGAGCAGGCACAGAGGGCGCAGTCATGGGCCAGCAGGGGGCTCACGCCCCTTCTGCACAAGTCTAGGGACCTGAGAGCAGCCAGGCCCACCAGCGGACCCAGTGAGCCCCGCCTTCACGCTGACATGGGGCGCGCCAGCATGGGGCACTCGGCCTGGGTTATGCCGCGCGGAGGGGCCCCTGCCCGCAGGCAGCAGCCCAGCTCCGGCCTGAGGCCAGTCAGACCTGCGAGGCTCAGCAGTCTCCTGCCCGGCCAATGACCACACTACAGCATGGCCTCAGGCTTCTGAAATAGGGGAGACTCACAAAGCACGGCCCCAACACAGTCTCCTGGGGATATGTCCCCCAGAGACAAGCTGTAAAGCCTGTCTTGTGCTTTAAAAAAAAAAAAAAAAAAAAACTTAATTGCATCTGGTGCACAAGCCCCAAGCAGTCAGTCTCAGTAAAGTCAGTCACTGCCCACTGATGTCTCCCCGACCTTTACTGGGGTGAGGCTACGTCTTTCCCAGGAGGGTAAGGTGCAGAACTTAAGCTCTATTCCCTGGAGCAAGGGTCAGGGTTTACCAGGTGCGGCCTTTTGAAGTCTCTTACAAATCCCAGAAGAGCAGGAGGTCCACCCTGCCCGGCCCACCCCGGCCTGGCCCCGCCCACCCCGGCCTGGCCCCGCCCCGCCCGCGCAACGGCTCTGGCCCCACCCCACCGGGCCCGGCCCCACCAGCGGGGAGCCCAGCATTTGCTCATTTGTTCTCACCATTTGCCGGGTGGGCCTGGGAGGACCGGAGCCAAGGGGGGTCAGCGGGGTGGAGGGGGGCTCTGCCTTGAGGGCAGTGTCCCCATGGCCAGGGGGCGCTAGGCACAGGGTGGAGGCCAGGCGTGGGGCGCTCAAACCCCGCAGGGCTGAGGCCTGGGTGCTGCCAATGGCCCCCAACTGCAGCAAGGCCGGGGAGCCTGCACCAGCGCCTCACCAGCGGCAGGAACGCCCCAAGCCAGCAGCAGCTGGCAGCCTCGGATGCCACCAGCGCGCAGAGACAGGCGAGGCGGGACTGGAGGGGGGCGACCCCAGCCCACCACCCCCATACCTTCTGCTGGCACTTGGGCACGCCTGCACGCCCTTGGGCGCTGTCCTGAGGGCGGGGCCAGGCAGCTGAGGGATATGCCCCAGGGCAGGTGCCGCAGGGCTGCAGGTCAACCCCCACGCCGCCCCGGCTCAGCCCCCCCACAGGCAGCACACTGCTCACCGCAGGTGACCTTGTTCTGAAAGGGGCCAGGAGGCGGGGCGGCAGGTGGAGCGGGGCCAGGCAGCTGCCCGCTTCCTGGTGTCCAGCTCTGTGCCCCTGCTCTTTGCCGCCCTGGGCCAGTGAGGTACCAGCCCAGTGGGGCTGGGGAGTGGGCTTGCCAGAGGGGCGGGGCTCCAGGTACCCCAGGCCTGCGCCGGCCGGCACAGCAGCCGCCCACCTGGCAGGGCACACCCGCAGGTACGCCGGTCACCTGCGGCCACCTGGGGCTGGGAACTCCGAATCTGACCTCGAACTTCAGGAAGGGAAACACAGAGGCAGTCTGAGCCGTGCTGCCACTGGGGACCACCAGCTGCCACCCTGGGTGCCATGGACATGGAGGCGGGTTGACCCGGGCTGTTGTACCCATTCCCTGGAGACGGCACCGAGGACCAGACAGGGCCGGCTGCACCCAGGCCACAGCCAGCCGCGGAGAGGGGCAGAGCCAGAGCCCCGCCAGTGCCGCCCCCCTTCCAGCCTCCGAGGCCTCCAGGCCCCGCATGCGGGGCCCCTGCCGGAGGCTGTGAGCTGGGCCCAGTGACGGTGCCCAACTGGGAGGCGGACAGAGCGGGGCACCAGAGGGCCCTGGGCTCCACTCCCAGCAACAGGGCTGGGCACACCTCCCTTCCGGGGTGACCCTGGACAAGGGAAGCGTGCCCCCCAGGCCCCGGGAGTGAAGACGGGACACGTACCTTCCAGCAGGGGTCCTCATTGGCTAGCACAGGGAGGAAGGGCGGAGAACACGTTAGTGGGCACTGGAAGAGCACCAGTCGGGACTGGAGTCCACGCGGCCCAGCAGGCAGGTGTCCTCACCCGGAGCACCAGAGGAGGCCCAAGGCCAAGACCATGTTCTCCGCTGGGGCATGCTGGGAGCATCAGGGGGCCGTGATGTGCTGGCTGGGCCCTCCCCTGGGGCATGCTGGGAGCATCAGGGGGCCGTGATGTGCTGGC